TAATAGTGTTTGTATTTTAAAACGTAATTAAGCATAGTTTTGAGTGGAGAACACCACTAAGACAAGTTGAACATTGGTAACCAGTCATTATACTACATCTCTCACAGCGGCTGTAAATATACCTAATCAACAACCCGTTTATCTATATACTGTTTTTTTCCTATACTGTACCGTTATAGTAAACCCCGTAATAAACGCACTGAACAATCTGTGCATGCCTTACAACAAATCACAACTATATAAGGAAGTCTTCTTCAGCCCAGCATTGTCAGATAACCAAGGGCCGAACCATTACAACTTCCAGGGTATGGTGATGGAAGTGCAGACAATATATACATATTATTAATCATCTTTGGTTTCATGAGGTCAAAAGTCGCAGAAACGATCATACATCTTATTTCTTCATTTACAATTAAACAATGGTATCAGTGTTGCCTATTGTTAACAAGCATTTCAAAAGTTACCTACATAAGTCCACACACTAAAAGAAGAATCCATGTATACGTAGGTTTGGTCCATGACTATTATATGCATCTCCTCATTCTGAAGGCAACAGATGACCTGTGTCCAGTCATGAATCTTTTTCCATGAAACCAACACAGTAAACTAGTCTGAGACTTGTTCAAATGGCCACATCCTAGTTTATTTAGCAATAGTCAGAACCTGGGATTAGGGATTAAAGAGATGGTACAATTAAAAATTCCCTTCAACCTGTTCACTGCTCCACTCATGTGTCAAGCAGTAGTTACTTCAGTCACATATATCCTTACATTGACAATTGCATCATGGGAAACGCTTGTATTCTTTTGGTTGCAGGTCTGGATTACTAGGAGATGGAGTACGGGGAGAAAGAAGTACTATCCTGCCCATCCTGGTGTGCCACCAGAACTGCTTCGCTTCCAAAACTGTGCATGTGAAACTGGACATCCCTTTAGTGCTAAATTATTTTGTATGTTTTTGACATTTCTCTCATTGAAATAATATTGTCAGATGTAAGAATGTTCTTCGGTGATATTTCTCACTTTTGTGTGCATAAAGAATGATTTTTGTTCAATCTCGGCTGCAGGTGCTTAATGTTGCGACTGAAATAAAAAAAGGCAGCATACTCCTGTACACCTTCCCAATAGTACTAGGTACCCTACCCAATACTCCCAGCCCTGGCAAGTACATACCCAAGTTTCTTTTTTTAAGAGAAATGCTGTAAAGATTCATACATTCTGCCAACACTCTTTCCAAGACTTCAAGCAGGTTTGATGATACTAATTGACAGCACTAGCATGGGATGCAACATCAATCATTTGGGACAACCTGCTGTTGTCTCTCATTTCCCATGAGCGATGACAGTCACTGAGAAACAATGCTAGCTAACACAACATTGATAACTTCATTCTTCCAAGTCTAGGATTTACCGCTACTGTCTCTCCTGGTAGACCAATGCTTACTTTTCATATCCTGGGCTTGCTAACAATTTCTTGAAGCGGGTTAACTAACGAGCCAAGAACTATTTCACATTTAAACTTCAAGGCTATCCTCTGTGCATGCTTTTTCATGCAGGATCACAGAGACCATGCTCAAGTCTTGTGCTGTACACACCTAGTAAGAATTTTGGACCAGGTCCCCTTTCCTGCATTAAGAAGGCATGGGTTGTGGCATTGTCAAACTCCAGTAACACATTGATGGTCAGTATAAGCAGAATCATTTTCAATTCATTTGAGATTCTTGTTTCTGGGGATCAGGGTTTATCCAAGAACCTGCGAGTTTGTAGGTCTATTATTTGTCCCGACTCTTGATTTGGTGTATGTTAATACTGATGCTGTGAAACAGAGGGAATCATGGACATCCCAATCAACAGGTGGTCAGGGGTAGTCAGTCCCTCATCTGATAGTTTCACAGGTAAGTACAGGTACTAGGTACAAGAACAAATACCAGGTTGAAGGTCAGTGTAGTTTTCTCTATCACTGCTGAGCGAAAATGAAGGAAGTCCCAATTTGTATGCAGATACCCAAAGAGCAGTGCGTTGTGATCATAGTGTAGCCTGCAATGATACTTAAGCACAAAATTCAACAAACCAGTTAAATCAAGTGTTGTTTTTATTATCTGTAAGCTGGTAATACAATATGTATAGTAAACCTGCTGCAAAAGATAGCATTCATATTTACAAGGTAGAATATATACTGAAGTATAATTGAGATACACTATGAGTGCTATATCTCTTTGTGCTATATCACTTTACTCACTGTTACTGAATAGTAACTTGAAACCTACTTGAACATTATCATATTTCTCAATCAATTGAAACTATTCAGGCTTTACAGAATATCATAGTGTTAGTAATATACATAATAACATACATAAGTATATTAGGATTGCTTGAAGTAAATGCATATATTCTTGGTTGGGAAAACATTGATAATAAACATTGTATAAATTGCTATAATTGCATAATAATTTAACAAATCTATTTCATATTTATAAAGTATAAGGTCACAGAAACATCAATAATAATAGAATTAAACAAGTTCAGGATTTCACTTGCAACCCATAATCTTATCATACACATAGGGGACAAAGTATATATTGACTGACTAATTATGTAATCAATCATTCGTAAGTGCAAGTGTTCATTAGTAAATATTAAAATCATCATTAAAGTTATATAAATTGTGTGTATAACCCCTTCCTAAAGTCACACATCATAGCACTTTCTGGGGATATTGTTGTCCGATAATAGAAATAATTTCTGCAATGTTTGCCATGCACAAAGTTTTTGAAACTTCAATGACAGGAACCTGCAGGTTTTACCAAAATGTGTGACTTTTATAGGGGTCATGAATAAAGCATATAATACAGCACAGATGTATCATGGCATTAAATAAAGTAGTCAGTCGTTTTGTTTCGTTACTAAGCATTAACATCATTTTTTGGTTAAGTATTTAACACTATGATATTCAGTGGTTCACACAAATCAACATCATGGAAATTGAAAACAAAAAATTGCACACATATTAAAAGTTGCATCTACATGTACTGCTCCCTCAAGGACACCTCAATCCAGAGCAGTGAATTTGGAGCCTTCCATTTGACATTGACGACCAGTTCTATAATGTATTGGATATTCCATGAGTGTGGGTGTACATTGATTGTAAATTGTATTACCTAATTCATTAACAATACTGATATTTACAATACACACCTAAGTAGTCTTGTAGAAACAGTACGCACTTAAGTAGTCTTGTAGAAACGGCAGCACAGTGTGGAATTGCTTTAAGAACAATAATTGGAAGAACTAACTTAACTGTTTGTCATGTTTGCATAGAAACCATCAAACTGTTATGTAATAGCCTTAACTGTACATAATATATTTTAAATAAATTGAAAAAAAAAAGGGACATTTTCATTAAAAGAATTTGTTTAAAGCTATGGATAAAATATTTAAAATGCAGACAATATATTTATTGCAGAAAAGTGTACATAGTGAGTGTTATTCTAAAAAAACACACACAAACAAGACCACCTGACGCCCATCATCTGATCATTTCTTTAAAAACAATTTTCCACTAAAAACTTGCAATCGTCAATGTGACAAGTGTGCAAGTGTGTGTGACAAGTCGGTGAAAACATTACTGAATAGTCACTTGGGTGTAGACAGCTACATGTAAAATAAAAAATTGTTTTTGTCTTAGAATTATATTGACAAAATTATGTCAAACTTTGTATTTAACCTGATTAAAAATGGCATTGCTGTAAGTACAACTAACACATGCTTATAATGGCACAAATAAGGTATATGATAGTTTCTGTGTTTACACGTGTAATGTATGGTGTCTTCATTGCGGCTTGGAAGGGTAAATGATACAGCATAAAACTGCTGTTGTAATTACTTAAAAAGCTGAAAAAAATTATTATTAAAACATTATACATTGAACCACAAAGATTTGGTTCCTAAAATTCTTGAAATTCAAAATTCACATAAAATGTTTGTAAAATGAATAAAAAAAATATCATTTGAGAATTATATTCTCGCTGACAGCATTATTCAATCCAGAAAGACCAGCAATATTATTCAGAAATATTTTGTAAAACACAACATACAGCTTATAGATATTGCTACTATTTATTAAACATTTTAATATTTAAAAACTATACATTTATCTTTCATATCTTTATAATTATTCACATAATAACATGGTCCCGTAAATATAGCAGTATGATCTGTTTCACAACTATGTTAAATTTTCCAAATATTATAATTATGATACAATACAATAACACACATTGAGCATGAATTGTAATATTAAGTGCAGTAGGTAGAAATGTATGTACATGATTGGAAACCAAATTTGCATTTTCATTTTTCTTGTTTTTAGTTATTAATAATAAGTGTAATAATAATAATAATAATAAAAACATAATGTATTGAGTAGACGCAAGTATGATAACAGATATTTAAATTTATGATTGATGCAACATTCAGTTGGACCACATTTACCCGTATTCTCCCAGCAACAACAAATTTTAATGGCTTTCCAACATTTTTACTTGCCTGTTTTGTTACTCATCTTGTAACACTCGAATTGCCATTCATTCATGGATTATTTCAAAAGGAAATATAGTTTGAAGTTCATGTGCAAAAAAAATGCATATAAATAGTAGCTGTTTTAATAAGTATAGCTGAAATTGGCGTGCGTTTGCATTTTAGCAGCTTAGCAAATAGACCACTGTCTGCTTGCTATGAGATCCCATTTTTTGCTTGAAATTGAATATAAAGACAGGACAAACAAAGGTCATGGTGACATAAAAACTGCTGCATGCGATTCAACAAGGTGTTTCCATGCTTTAAAATGCGATAGTGACAGTGAACTTTAAAAACACAGAGGTTCAAAATCAATTGTTGCAGCAAGATCCTACAGTTAACGGAAAATCTCCTATTAACAAAGAACCAGCATATGATATACTTTATCATCAATATGCAGTAAAAATAGACCCAGGAAAAACAAACATCATGTTAGAATAGTCAGAACTACTTTTCCTCGACATCGTTTAAGAATTGCCACAGCTTGTTCATGAGAAGCACCATCTAAGTTGTCTCCATTCACGGCCAAAATCTGATCACCACGTTTAAGTTGACCGCTCTCTGATGCAGCTCCTCGTGAAAACACAGTTTTGACATAGATTGGTAGATCACCATGTGGGCTTCCGAAGCCACCCACGATACTAAATCCTAAGCCGTCTACTCCTCTGATTAATTCTACAGTACGGATGTTCGTTGGTCTGGAAAATAAAGTGAAAATATCATCGAACATTGAAAATATTGAAAATATGTACATGTACCAACACAAAATTCCAACGACTTGCACTAATTACCGCTGGTGACTCCTTCGATACCTTCCAATCCAAAATAACCTAATTAAAGCTTGGAAACATGTCAGTTTGTACTTGTTGATCTGCGCAACAGTCAAAGTCGCCATCTTTGTTTATATGAGACCCATATATCTCGCACATGCGCAACGCAATGACTACTGCGCTTTAAAGTCAAATAATTTTGTTGGTCAGGATTGAACATCATTTTTGGCATTTTAATTACTTAAATTTAAAGCCTGATAAATGAAATAAACATCAATGTGTTGTTGGTCACTTTCTCAGTCCTAATATACATGTACTGCAGAAACCACTGAACTGAGTCTATTCCACTGCTGACCCGATGAATATCTTGTCTGTCACCCAACTAATCACTGACTGTTATAAGGTCATTCTGGATCAGTGCTGGGCGTATTTTAGTGACGTAGTAGGATGTGGTTTGCTCATATATTTTTGGTGCAATATTATTTTGAAGTTTGATGAGCTAATGATTAGTCGCATGACAGCCAATTGATTCATTAGGCCTTAGCAGATGCACGGTTAGGGAAACTCTTCGGCTGAAAACTCAGTGGTTTCTGTAGTACATTGCACTTTGCTTGTATTATTTGCAGCCCCTCGGCTGAGATAGCTCCGCTGTTAGCAATGCACATTTCAACTAAGAACTGAAGATATCATTAGAAAATGAACAAATCTAAGAGAGATCTACCTGAGGTACCTATACATGTATGTATAGTATCAAAGAAATCGGACTTGCTGTTTTATACAAGAAGTCGAAAATATAACTTTTCACCAAAAATGACAAAAATATTCACCAAAATTAGAGAATTGAAGATACATCATGAAATGAACAATTCTAAGATAGGTCTACCCAAGGTACATATACACCAAGTATCAAAGCATTCAGTCTTAAGTTTTCAAGAAGAAGTCAAAAAAATAAAAATTTGACACGAACGACGGACGACGACGACGGACAATCACTCATATGATAATTCAGCTCCGCTCGACAAAGTGAACAGCAGAGCTAATAAAATTACTGCTAAGTATACATAAAGGCAGTACAGTGATTGTATCATAAACCTTAATGAGTATACATACTATTTAGTATGCCCACGATAACATTTATAATTTTAAAATTGTGTTATCTGCTATATTTTATTGAAATGCATTCAACATATGAAGTAATTTTATCCACGAGTCAAATGTACTTAATATGTTAATTTTTGCAACAAAACATATTAGATGGTAATACAACTTTAACATATCATAACAGACTTTGGTTACACTTGCATGCGGAATACATCATAGAGACAACTAGGATAGTGCTACTATTTGACAAAATAATCTAAACTCTGAACTTTGCATACATCTAAGATTGAAAAATATACAATACATGCTTGTTTTGTTACTATGGTATCAGTGCAGATTCACTGTCAACACAGGTTTGATGAGGGAGTTTAAATTTAATTAAACATGGAGATTAAGTTCCAGTAAATTCTGATTGTAACTTGGCTATCATCTAGCTTTGCTTTTTCATAAAACCAAAATTTTTAATAATTTGAATATTTTTTTGTAGTATTTACCAATTTTACGAAATACGAGTCATACTAAAGTGAGAGGGTCGTCACCTGTGCATGTGTGGGAATTGAGTCCCAAGCGATGATAACAACACACGCTAAAAACGCAAAGGGTCATGGGTAGACGCTTGTTTGTAAACAATCAAACGCTATGGCCATCTGACGCATACGCAGGTGACAACTCCTTAGCTTTAACACAGAATACTACTCACATATACAATGTATAAGATTTTAGAAACAAACAAAGCTAGGTTTAGCCAGTTAAAGCGGGAGGGTTGTCACCTGCGCACATGCGGGAATCAGGTCCCAAGCGACGATAACAACACACGCTAAAACGCAAAGGCTCATGGGTTGTTTGTAAACAATGACACGCTATGGCCATCTGACGCATGTGCAGGTGACGACACTCTAGCTTTAAAGTGTGGCTAAATGTTAAGTTGTCCAAACTGTATTGTTTTGCATTTACACTGCCAGAACATAGAAATCAACTATGACCTGGGGCGTATTTCACAGTATATACTTGGCATTTAAGTAGAAACAACTTAACAGGGATATGACTACAAAGGTAGGTGTGGACGACATGTGAATATAAACGTGTTACTACTGGAATCTACTAATTGTGTAATTTATACTGCAATAATTACATGCAGTGAGATTAATTATATTTATAACATACCCAGTTACTTCCTCCTATGCGATTGAATGGAATGAAGAAAAGAGGCAGAAAAGAATGATAATCAGTGATGGTTTAACAAGATGAATAATCTCATCTGAATGAACCAATCAATCCATTAACTAGTCATTGATGTACTACTTTCAATAATCAATACAGGATCAATCACATTAAATTTCAACAAGACAACAACAAAATTAATCTTTTCACCACCAGTTCATCACAAATTCTCAAAATAGTCCCAATTATAGTCTGTACTTTTCTTCAGAAGATTGGGACAAAACAAGCCAAATATTTTGAGTAAAAACTCAAAATTGAATCAAATTGTGTCTGTTGGCTCTAAAATTAGGGTTCATTTCCAGTAATACTGAAGAATATATTAAGAAAATAGTGCAGAAACATTTGGGCAAGAAAGTCTGGTGGTAAATAGGTTAAGAGTTTGAATCACAGACAAACTTATTTGGTCGCTGTTGCTACCTTAAGGACAGGCATAGCTAACTATCAAAAATGCAGAAAATACTGATAGAACGACAAATTCATATGACATTTTAACATTTGACAAAATGGAGAGATTTAGTGAAGCCTTTCACCCACATATAACTATCATGCAGCCTATAATGCAAACACAACTTACCCAGCTTGGACCTCGTCATGTAAACTAGAGTTATTACTATTTGAAGAAGATATTGATACTGGTGTGGCTGATGCTATCGAGTAGTTGCTACCAGGAGATGTTGGTGTTGTTTCACCGCCTTGCATTACATCTAATATAATAGTACCAGTAGCTTGTTTCAATAAATTAATAGCTTTCGAATGTCCAGTGTTTTCTAAGCTATGTCCATTTATATTGACAATCCGATCACCAACCTGTGTGAAAAGAAACAATTTGTCAAAAATCTTCTCAACAGACCAATTTTCGTTCACTGCGAGATACTGTGTGAAATGGAACGTAAAAACAGGACATAGCGTCATAGCGTCGCAATGGCGACAAACATCATGTAGAATTCGACAAACGCGAACATATTTTAGGGGATATTTTCATGCTTAATAATGTACTGTCACATTTGATGATGGTCAATTTTGATGAAGTAATCAAACACAATATTTCCCCTGTCAGATCGGCCTTTTGATGTGAGCTTCGCAGTTGAACGAAAAATCACCTATTGTTTTTTTGTGTATCATTCAAGCACTGTTCAATGTTAATGCAGTACAAGTAAATACATTTAGAAGGGGGGAGGGGCAAATCTGACAAAATTGTTGGCCAATAACCACAAATTAATTTTTCTAAAAAAATTACTTTAATTAACTGTATTATATAACAAAAATGTTTTCAAACACTAACATATTTTTCCTCAGAGAAAATAACGTAGTTAAACTCTGGTGAACTTGCCCTTTGTTATTTCCTATTATTTCTTTTATCATAGTTTGTTTCAATAGGAATATGCATTGTCATAATTAATTTTGAATACAAACAAGTTTTAGGATTGAAACAGTAGTGGGAAAGCTGTCTACTAAAAAAATTGATAAATGTAAATATCTTACAAAAACATTATTTTAAAGGACAGAATTTCCAGTTTTATTCAAGGTAATTCAGATATTGTAGTATAAAAACAAATGTCTCATCTCAGAAAAAAAGTGCTGCAAGATGCTCAGCAACGTTTTTTCTTTGTGATTCTTTGTGCCTCCCTAGAAAATTCATCATGATTCTTTGTGCCTCCCTAGAATACTCATCATGATTCATAAGGACTCCCTAGAATACTCGTCAGGATTCTTTGTTGCTCCCTAGAATATTCATCATGATTCTTTGTGACTGCCTAGAATACTCATGATTATTACCTACCCGTAATTTTCCTGACTTTGCAGCAAGTCCAACAGGTTGTATTGAAGCTATGAACAATGGCACATCGCCTAATGGACTCCCTAGTCCACCTGCTATACTCAAACCCAGTGAGTCATTTGGTCCTTTATGTAATTCAACTCGCCTAATAGTCTTATCATCTGTGATAGAAAATAATTAGATATCATAAGGACACTTTTGTTCATTGATGTGGATGCAGCATGTGACAATAATGGAATCCAGCATTTCACATTATTGAAGTTGCACTCTGAGATCATTCCTAAAGCTTTATTTGAGTTTTGAGTTATTGATGCGAAGTGTTCGATATTCTGAAATGTAGGAAATATGTACTTATAAACATGCAGTTTTCAATGACTTTCTGTGTGTCACAATATTTGTGATCATTATGTCTTCCCATTAGATTGATCATTCCAATGTCATTCGCTTTTAAAATTTCGCCATGCTATTCAATTTTGTTCTGAATTACTGCAAATCACAAAAATTAATTCCGAAACAGCGAAACAGTGCAAACTTGTGCACATTCATAGCATCAAATATTTCATCATATAATACTCCAAAAATTCCATTGACTTGAGTGATACTGTAAAGATATTTATCTGTCAGTATTAATTATCTCTTATGAAGGATAAACAAACTTGTATATATACCTTGCATATGGGACTGTGATTGTGGATTGCTGCCCTGGCTAGAATGACTTGTGTGGGATGATCTCCTCGATGATTGCTTTGATCCACCTTTAAGTCTTCCAACTTCTAACACTACCTTGCCTTTTATACACTGTGAGAAGAGAATATAAATATGTAAATAACTCCTTGAATAGGTAATCTATTTTAAATATGAGTTATTAAACTTATTCACACTCAAGTACATGTATAGACAATATTTCTATGTAGCTGCAGCTATATACATATATCCTATGTTGCTGGTCATACAATAAATATATCTTCATTAAAGCTGCAGTTATGTCCCATGTTGCTATTTGTATAAGTACCTTCAGTAAATTTGCAGTTATATCATA